ACTGAAAAAGTTCACTTTTTTTAAAGTTAGTATGTAATAACTAATTTGTAGTTATTACTACTCACATATTTAAGTTCCCTTTTTATCAGTTGTGACTGACAGAAACCTTAATGTTGCCTGAATTATCTGATGTCTTTCCCACTTTGGCTCTTGGACCATAATGGGAAATCCCACTACATTGGCTTTCAATGCCAGATTTTAACCGCTGTCTAACCTGAATACTTAGTATTACCTGAACAACTGATTCATGCCTCCTTGTTTAGTTTGCTTCAGAGAGCTTCCTGCAGCATGAGAGTGGGGGAGGAACCAGCAGTTTTTATACAATCCTCTGCACCATTTCCTCAGAATTACTGGGAGCTGTGCTTCCTGCTTCCTTTTCCTATAACAGCAGAAAACACCTTCCTCCTGTTTAAGCCCCAGGCATTGTCCTGATCAGGACCCCACTCCTTCTGCCTTCTTAGGGACCTTGGGTGCCTTCTTTGCTGGCTTTCCACTAGGTTATTGGTTCCTGTCAGCATGCTCAAATGCAGACTGTTATCAAAGACAAGGCGTCTAGCTGAACATCCTGTCTCTGCTCTCAGCTTGTACAGCTTGCTTAGTTCCCTTCTTGGACACAAACCTCTTGCCCAGTGCTTACTTACCCCACGTTCCGTTTGCCTCTTTCCTCTGCCCTTCATTCTTCCTATGGCTTTGCACCTTTAAATGTGACTGCCCTTCTGCAGCCATCCCTTCTCCATGACTTGCAGCGAGTTTTTACTTTTTTCATTCATCTCCAAGGGTGTGCCACTTCCCGTGATGCCCAAGCATGGCAGCTGTGCCGTCCTCCTGCCGGCTATTCTTCCTCCTTGGGTTACTGCCACTTCTCTTGCCAATCCAGCCTCGTCCCTCCCCACTCTCTCCCTAAGTTATTTTCTTGATTTGTTAAATTTTGCTTACTTTTACAAAGGATACCCTGTTTCTTTTTATTCTTCAAGACATCATGCATATTCTTTCTCCAGTCTGGAATGTTCTCTGCTGCCCAAATCATCTGTTGGTGATGATTAGATCCCTTTGATCTAATGAAATATCAGTATGCAGGACCTCTTTCCTAGTTAGTGGTCCTGTTGCTATGTAACACCATGATAGCTTACTTCCACATCATAGTCCATCACTGAAGGAAGTCAGGGCAGGAACTCAAACAGGGCAGGAACCTGGAGGCAGGAGCTGATGCAGAGGCCTTGAAGAGGGTGCTCTTTATTGATTTGTTCCCCTTGGGTTGCTCAGCCAGCTTTCATAAAACCCAAGATCACCAGCCTAGGGGTGGCCCCACCCACAATGGGCTGGGCTCTCCCCCACCAATCACTAATGACGAAAATACTTACAGACTTGATGTGATTTTTTGGAGGCATTTTCTTAATTTAGATTCATCACACACACACACACACACACACACACACACACACACACACACACACACACACACATTTTCTTTCTTTCTTTCTTTTTTTTTTTGAGATAGGGTCTCTCTGTCCTGGAACTCACTATGTAGACTAGACTGGCCTTGAACTCACAGAACTCCACCTGCCTCTGCTTCCTAAGTGCTGGGATTAAAGGCATGCACTACCATGCCCTGCCTGTATATACTCTCGGTTTAATGTTTCTTTTTTCTGTAAATGGTAGGGATCCTGTTTTAACTTCGCTAATGGTATTTCCATAGGTGGAAAAGTTAAAGTTACATTTTCAAAAAAGTTACTCATTTTTATTTAATAATTCCTATTCATTTATTTTCAAAGACATTCCTTTGTTAGCAGCAGTTCTTGGATTTACCAAGTGAAGGAATCTTCAAGTTGAGTTGAATTGTCCTGTAGTAACCTTGCTTAAAAGAATGCTTTGCAAAAACCTAGAAGCCTCTGACATTCTGCCCATGAATGCTATGGAGAATAAGAAGGCAAGGGGTTCAGTTTTGCATGAAATGCAGTTTTGTGGAACTTAGATGGGCCACAGAAATATTTATTATGAGGAAATATTCCAGGATAAGTTCTCTTTCACTCTCAGCCAAGAAGCTCCAGTCTTAGCCAGCTGTCTGATGAGGCTAAGAGCATCTCACGCTTTGACTGACGTTTCCTTGTCTGTTCACATTCTGTAATGTAGGCGAGTCAAGCTTGGACAAAGCTGTCATCACAGATTTTGAGAATTGGCTCAGCAGTTAAGAGCACTGACTGCTCTTGCAGAGGACCCCTCTTGGTTCCCAGCACTCACCTGGTGGCTCACAACTGTCTGTGATTCCAGGTTCAGGGGGGTCACTGCTCTCTTCTCACGCTCTAGGGCACCAGGCATATATTTGGTGCAAGTACACACATGCAGGTAACACACTTATACACATAAATAAAAATAAATATGTCTTTAAAGAACAAATCCGTACTCAAACAAGATGCAAAGGTTACACATTCTATTTTTCCCAAGGTATATAGTGTCTGAACTATAGTGGTTTTCTAGATGCATAATAATAAAGAAACTATATATTTAATTCATCTTTGAATTCCCCAGAATCAAAGAGATTTTAGTCATTTATGGAAATTAGGAATTTTTTTTATCTTGTGATTTTTTTTGTAGTTTAGTATAATCCACATTAGTATCTTTAGTTATTTTTAATTTTTGTTTCTTATTAAGGGCTAGAAAATATGAAATATCAAATTACAGGCTTTTTCTTACTTTATGTTTAAAGAAACATAATTTAAAAACATTTATGCTCATACCAAACAGTAATTTATTGCTATCTACAAGATTACTGATTTAACAAAACTTAGTGTACTTATGATGTAATTATGTGAGAAAGAAGTAACATGTTCTTCCTGTCAGCAACAGTGTGTCTGGGATGATGTGGAGTCTCCCTGGACCCTGACTGGGGGACGAGAAGAGCGTCCCTGTCACCTCTATGCAGCCCAGTCTCCCCTAAGAGCAGCATAAAATCGGCCCTGACAGATCAGATTGAGGATCTGGAGTAATCCTCAGGGAAGAGAAAATTCAGGCTTTGTTCGAAGTGACAAAATCGGATTATTTTTCTCAGGGCTTTTGTTCCTTTGCAGTACTTTGAAAGGTTGCTACAAATATGTAGTTGAAATAGAACCACATAAGCAGTAACTAAGTTAATCCACTTCAAAATGTGAGTGCACGTGATTCTAATGCAGTTTTGCATGCTGCTGAAGGATGAGATTTATTTAATGAAATAAATAGGATATTTTCCACTAGATGTTTAATCCAATAAACCTTTCATGTAGTCGTTTGTTTTCCCTCTGTGAAAATATAGTATATAGAAAAAAATGAATGAATGAGCAAGGGGCTGTGTGAAAAGTGAGGCCACCAAAGCATCCTTGGCTGTATGGAGCCAGAAGTAAACAAACGGTGAGGGTAACACAACTTAGGCCTAGTAACCTGCTCATATTCTGAAATAGCAATAGTCGCTAAAGTTGTGATTGACGAAAAAGGATAGTTAAATATCTGCCTCGAAGCCCATCCCATGCGGTGTGACTAGCCTGCCTCTGTGTGATGATTTATTTTTATTACTGCTAATTTACTGTCATACTTTGTTCGTGAAGATTCTCCTGAGGACTTTTGCATTATGAGCTCTCAGTTTTGATCAAAGTACCCCATGAACCTATACAATTTGGGATGTAATTATCTACAGGATCTGCAAAGATAAGTCTGCCTGAGGATTTCCAGTTGATCTTTGATGTTTTTTACATTAATTTCCGAAATGTAAACATTTGTTTTATATGGATGAAGACAAACCATCTGATGTTGCCCTTCATAAATTTCTAATGTATTGTTTTATGCAGGATGTTCTACATGGCTTATTTATGTGGAAAACTTTAATTCCTTAATTATTATTAAGTTAAAATTTTTGTAGATGGCAAGCTTTGTAAGTAAAACAAAAAAAAAATCCTGTTTGAACTACTCATGGAAGTACTAGATTAGCCAGCTCATGCTTAAAATGCTGCTAGCCGTTTATTGGATTTTGGAATTAATGTTTAAGAAATTCCGCACCCTGATTTGTATTTTAAAAATGTGCTGTAAAGTGGTGGTGGTTGTGCAGTCGGCTGTAGTTGCTCACGGACTGGATACAGAGTGGAGTCTCTGGTCCCTGAGGCCTTTTCCTTGGGGTGGAGTTTAGACTGACAGCATCTGTATGTTAACTCTATCATGGGGTTTCAGCATCTCTCTTCCAGAAATGCTATTAACCCACCGTTAATTACCCTTTAAAAAATCATTTGGAATATTCAGTTTTGTTTTTGGCAGAATTAAGTACATGGCCAAAATATTTACTAGTGCTAATTAAAGCCAACAATGCCATCTTTTACCACATTGAAAAAAGGGGGTTGAGAAATGTGGAAGTAAACAACTTGTATGAATATTTATAAAGCTGTTGATTTTTTATACTCTATCTAGAAATTAATACAAATATAAGTCACATTTATTTCTTGAAATAGATTGCAAAATCAAATTTATTTTTAAAAAGCTGTATTAAATTTATGCAGTAGCTTACCGACTACTCAAAAATTACTTTAGAGTTAAATTTGAGCATTTAAATCTGATATAAAGCAAAAATGATTATTGACATCATATATTCTTAATTGAAATTTAAAATGAAATTTTAAGGCAATATGCTTTGGTTTAGTCTCTGAGGCTGTGTTTGGTTATTAGTATACTTACTGCTTTTATATTTTCATTTTCAAGCCAAAACTAGTGTTTTTATAAGTAGTTAAATTGAAAATTTATTGTAGAATGTTAGACTCCAAGGCATGCAAAGAGTTTGCTAGAGGGAATGATTTTTAGTAGCTTAAGTTATGAATTTTATTTCACTATGTTGCTAAGATTATTTAAATCTAAATGTCAAAATATTTAATTTATAAAATACAGAGAAATTAACCTTATAATTGTGTTAAAAATATCAAAATTGATCATTTTAAGAATATTAGCATCTTCCTATGTTTCTTTTAATAATATATGTCAATTGTTTGCAGGTCCTGTGGTATTGTGGAAATTCCCAGAGGACTTTGGAGACCAGGTTGGGAACTTAATTTAAAAACATTTTCAGTTGGTATATTACATTATTACTGTTTACTGCTGATATTGTGTATGAATAGCAGCAATTATTTTTCTCGATAAACTGTGAGAAAGAAAATTGTGGAGACTTTATGGAAGAGTTTTTAAGTGGCCAAGTAGGTGAGTTAAGGCATGCTTATAGTGAGAATCATCGCAGTTGGGCGCTTACGGTCTCAACGTAGTTTATACTTTCATGTATGGGATTTCTATTTGGGAACAATAAAAAACTCCCAGTCATAAAAACTTGATAATATTAATTTTTTATTGGCTGTACTCATTATTTCTGTATACTTAGAAATAAGTATAACTGCTATAAATAAGTGATCAGTAATTCTTGAATCACATTTAGAAGTTGAATTGGGAATATTTCCTTATTTCTAAATAATTTTTATCACTTTATTTTCTTAGAAAGCTAAGACATCCGAAGGAAACTGCAGGATGAATTTCTTGGTTGTCATTTTATAGTTTTCTGTAGTTCCTTAAATATTTACTATGACCAAAAATGAACTAGTTTGGTATGAGTTCATAGGAAAATATTTTAAAATTTATGTTATGGGAATATCAATTTGGGGTTGAATTATAATTTACACTAATTTGTTTTGATGAAATTCCCTGGATACCTAATAAATAAGTTCTGTCTTTTCTCTAAGAAGAAGTGAGCTAATAATAGTCTTCTCACTGTTAAAATGATAACTTTACCAGCTCATATTTTTGGTTTCAGGTGTGATTCCCACAATCTGCAAAAAGTAAATCTCATAAAAGTATATCTTTACAAGTATTCATTCAGAAATAGTATGCATGAATTTGAGTATTGTGAAAGGATAATTTATTTTTGTTTTTTATGGTTTTTCGAGACAGGGTTTCTCTGTGTAGTTTTGGTGCCTGTCCTGGATCTCGCTCTGTAGACCAGGCTGGCCTTGAACTCACAGAGATCCATCTGCCTCTGCCTCCCGAGTGCCGCGATTAAAGGTGTGTGCCACCACCGCCTGGCCTGAAAGGATAATTTTCTAGACAAGAATGCCAACATGAAAGATGGGAAATTGGAAGGTAACTTGAATGAGCCAATTAGATGGGCATGTTAGGTACTGATTATGTCTATTGCCCTTGACCATGACTTCAAAGAAAAGGAGGCTATACATTCTTAAATTGCTGTTAGCCTTTAGTGAACGATGGATTTATACATACCATAAATATCCTTAAGTAAGTCCCTCCAGTGAAGGGGTGACTTTGATGTAAGAAGCTAAGCTGAGTGTGTTCCTAGTCCTGCAATGATTTTGGACTCATTTTACCAGTCTGAAATGCTTGTTTCTTTATCTTCTCAGTTATCTTTTGTCCACTGATCTACAAGCAACCTCTTGTCCCCTTTCAAGTATTACTACATTATTTTTATTTCTCCCTTTAAAACTGTTCCTTAGAATTTTTGGGGCCCTAGAGAGGCCTAACTAGGGGCCTCCATATGAAGATATGTACTTGTCAGTCCATCTGAATAGACTTTAGTGTGATCACCTGTTGCTGGTCTTCTTGGCTAATACCATGCTGTTTGTGAGTTGCGCCAGTCAGCGTTCCTGCATTTAGTCTAAACCAGAAGCAATTCACTGTGTAAGTGACAGTGAACTCCCATAAACCCCAGGAATCCAGTGCACTTCAGTCTTCACAGTCTTCCTTAGGTTTGTCTTTCTGAGTACAGGGTCTCACTGTGTGGCTTGGAACTTGCTTTGTAGACCAGGCTGACCTTGAACTCACAGATCACCCTTCCTCTGCCTCCAGAGTGCTGAGACTAAAGGCATGTGCCACCAACAGAGCATCCTTACAATCTTATAAATATTTTTTAGCATTTATTAATTGTAAAAAATGCTGTTTCTTTATGACATTTCATAATATGTATAGTATGCTTGGATCATCTTCAAGAGTCCCCTGCTATCTTGCTTCCCTCTCCCACTTTTCCTGGCTCTACCTGCAAGCCATGCCCTCCTACTTTCATGTATTATTTCTGTTTTCTTTAACTACTATTGCTAATATGTACATGCATATAAATATGAAAATATTAACCTGCCAAGTCAGTTTAGTGTTGCTCATATGTATGTTTTTACCACTGACCACTTGGGACTGGATAACATATCAGGGGCTCATCCCCAGGGAAGATTGATTTTCTCTCTTAGCAGTCATTAATTGCCTGTAGCTCTTAATCTAGTCGTGGGACTTTATGAGACTTCCCTCATCCACATGGGCATGTTGACTTTATTGTCATGGACCAGGTCTTATTTAGGCTGCTACATTGCTGAGATTTCACTTTAATCTTAAACCCCAGCTTGAAAATTATTTCTTGTACTTTCTTGAACTTCTCCAGCAACCTGCCTGTAATTTCATAGCTTCTTTTATATATCTGAAGGACTACCCTCCCTTCCTCTTTGCCGCTTCCCTCCCTCTCATTTTTTTTCTAGTTTCCATATACCACTGTGGCTGTCATATAATAAAGTGTGAATAAATGTTTGTTTAGTTGAGTGAGTAACATATTAAAGAAAGTTGAATAAACTCATGATATGTTATCTTGACCACACTGGGAAAGACAGGTAACTAATGTTCTAGGAAGTATAGTCCGAGAGCTCTGTGGAAACTTCAGTTTAGAAAGAGTTCAAGGGCTATGCCAAATATAATGGAGTTTCATTAAAGTATGAATGAAAGACGTGGCCTGGTGAGAAGTTTGCAGCTTGAAATTTAGAGCGCTTGCTCATCACTGACTTGTGATGATTTCCTGACCATGGTTCCGCCTCCTCCCTTTCATTTCCCTAGATAAAAGTGCACTTAGAAACCTGTTAGAAAAGGCCACATGCCACAGTAACTGTAATCACGTTAGTAATGTGCCGTTCATTAGCCAATCATGTAGGAAGTGGAAAGTTTAAATTATAATTTCCAGTGTGTCATAGTAAAGGACATATTTTCACGTGTGCATTTCAGCTGTATCCTTTTGGGGCTTTCTTATGTGGAGGCTGCCAGCTAGCTGCCTGGCAGTCAAACTCGACACTTCACACAGCCTTTTATGTTCAACCAAGTGTAGCTGTCGTACTGTGCGGTTCAGAAGGAATGCTTCTTAAACACGTGACCATATAGTTTTATATATTCATTCATTTTTCCCTCCCTGTTTGACTTAAAAGCGATTTGGATAATGCAAAGATTTTCATGATTTAAAACTGAGCAGTATTGATATCTGGGTATTTTGTAGTTTTATTTAGTATGTTAATTATGAAGTTCTAAATTATTTGGCAATAACTTATTTATTCTAGTATTAATAAAATAATTAGAAGCAGTTATGGACTATTAAGAAATTAACTTTTAAAACTTTTTTGGGCTTGGTACTGTCACAAACTGATTTTTGATGTGAAAGGAAATTTTACTCTTATGAGGATGTATGTACATACACAAGTATATTTTTGTACAAACCCATTTCTATGACAAATTGATTAATTTTTGAGAATATCAGGTTTTGTAAAGAGAAGAGGTTAATATGAAAATTATATTTAGATGCTTACTTTGTTTCATATTCCAAACATTTTGTAACTATCTTAGTAACTTTGAAATGAATTCTCTCTTGTCAGTATGCTTTTCGTAGGAACATACAAGGTTATGTTCCTCCTATGTTGCTGTGTATCCAGAAGAGAATCAGATTGTCAACTACTGTTATAAAGATGGGATTTATTTCCTTTGCAGGTACAATGTTGGAAAATTTAATATGAAATATGACCACACTCTTAATTTGCTGTAAGCCTGTTTTATATTTTGACTTGTTGAAATTGAAATTTTCGCCGGGCGGTGGTGGCGTATGCCTTTAGTCCCAGCACTCAGGAGGCAAAGGCATGCGGATCTCTGTGAGTTCGAGGCCAGCCTGGTCTACAGCGCGAGATCCAGGAAAGGCACAAAGCTACACAGAGAAACCCTGTCTCGAAAAAAAAAAACCAAAAAAAAAAAAAAAAAAAAAAAAAAAAGAAATTGAAATTTTCGTTGGCAGCAGTAGGAAACTAGTCAGGTCAAACAATGTTATTTTCTAAACCTTGTTTAATGGATTAGGTGTCCGCTGGCAGTGGAACTAATGTGCTTTCACAAATTTACAGTGAAAAACTATTTAAGAAACATTTGACATTGCATTTGGATATTACAGCGTATATAACATTAATGTTGTATTTGAAGCCCTGTAAAGATGACATAACTGCTCAGCCCAAGGATGGAAAGTTTACTGTAGTGCACTTGTAGAACTAGGATGTTTTTATTTATTCTTACATCAGTGAACTTATTCTATTCTAACTCTCCAAATGATGTACTCCAGCCAGGAAGGCCTGACCCCGCTCCACAGCCTCCAGCAGTAAAGTCGTCTGTGATGCTGCTGAAATAAATACAGGTCTTTACAGACACTTTTTTACAGGGAAAAGTAAAGTTGGGCTTTAGTTCTACAGAGTGTTTGAGAGGAGCAGAGTGGACAAAGGACTTTTCCACAGTGACATAATCTAGTCTGATGCATCTTCTGAAGCAGCTCTCCCAAACAGACTGAGCAGTGTGGAGTCTTGGATGGAGGGTTTGTTACTCTGGCAGGTCAGAACTCCACATCTAAGTTTATTTTCACTTTAAAAAAAGAGGTTGAAGTTGGTTGACTATAAAGCAAAAGATGGGAACTTATCTAGCTGTTGCTTGATGGAAAGAATGCCTCTTAAAATTGCTATAAAGCTGTTGGTTCACACGGACTATGCTATGTTGAATCAGGCTTGCTCACATCTGCATGCTGCTTTAAAAGTGAGTCTTAAAAAATTCTTTAGGTTTAAGTTGAAGGGTGCTTGTGACGAGCAGAATGAGTACTCACTAACTGACTTTCCCCTTCTGTAGTTAGTGAGTATTCGCTCCTTTCTCAACACATCCTTAGTAGATAACTTTTAAAAGAAGTATTGTAGGTTGCTCCTCAGTATTTAAAGTTTTTGC